TGCTGCCCTTAGCAGCTAGAGAAGGAAAAAGTCGCTATCATCAAAATAAATGAGAAATTGCTCAGGATCATGTTGTTGCAATTTTGATATTTTAACATCAAAAGCAATATGCAACAATCATCTGTGTCTATAAATATAGGCGTTAGTGCCCCTTTTCTACCAAAATGATAGAGACTAACAGCAAAGATTAAAAAATGGGAAAATATATATTTGTGTGGTCTTGTAACTAAGCTTTGGTTGAAATAAGGATATAACCATAAAGGATATCATATGGGAATTTAAGAACAAAAGAACATTTCCGCTTTATCAGTAGGCTTGTTTAGTCCTAAATCCTGTTTTGCATAGTGACATACCAGATGCCTCTCTGAAAATCCCAAAGATGAAGGCGCATCCTCTTTTTGTTGTTGCTTCCCTGTTTTTTAGAGGAATCACCCCTTTGACAATGAAGACAACCTAAAGTCATCCAAAGTGGTTGCAACTATGTTCCATGAAATTAAACCACCCAAACTAGTGGCTGCCATATTGAATTGTACAAAATAAACATCAAACCAAACAATAATAGGATAGTGGCATACAGAGGCTTTAGGATGATACAGCTGAACTGTTTTCACATTAAATTTAAGAACATTTGGGATTAATCTGATCTGCCCACTAACACCAGAAGAATTTATGTTCTGTCTGAATTCCTAACTATTACTTTTTTGCTTATCAAGACAACTTTATCAAGTCTAAAGAAACAGGATATTTATTCTACAATAATCAATAATTCTACAAGAATCAATAAGATCTTATTCATTATTATACGTTTTTTTAACAAATATGTCTCCAATAAATTTTCAAGGCTACTTATAGTACACGCATATAAGCCTATGTGCAGGTACATGTAATGAGTGAGTCAAATCTTTTCAAAACCTTTTTAAAATTAAAGTCCAGATAATCCCTGATTTATGACCACAATTGGGATCAGAATTTTTATCATGAGTTGTTGCAGTCATGAGTCAAGTCATTATGTGACCGCACCCAATTTTATGACCATTTTTATTGCAGTCGTGAGGATACCACAGTTGTAATTTGATTCACATGGTTGTAAGTCCAAATTCAGGTTTCCCCAAGTTATTTTTCTGCCAGTTTTTGTCACAAATCATGATCACATGACCATGGGATGCTGCAAATTGGTTATAAATGCAAGCTGGATGCTAAGCATCAGAATTATGATCATGTAAATGTGTGACAGTTGTAAGTTCACATTTAGGTGATAAGTTACTTTTTCAAAGGCTATTGTTAATTTGAACCACCATTAAGTGAACAGTCGTAAGTCAATTACCTGTATTAACATCTGTAATTAAACTTAAAATGAAATTTGACATCACACTAGAATGAGGAACTCTAGGTAACCTCATTCTATGTCATACTTGTACATAGGTTTCAATTTTTTATCATTAAGGAAATGATCTTATTGTATGAAAATTAGGATATGATCTAATCTTACGAAACTCCTAAAATACTTTACAGGCACATGTCTATGGAGGTTCTCAGTCATCCAAGTCATGGTTGTCCCAAAGGCGCTTTTTTCAAAAGACAACTGAACTTTGTTTTTTCCTTGAAGATATTTCTCTCCTCATCCAAGAAGCTGAAGAGCTAAAGAAGAGAATTGAAGAACCTTTTTGGATGAGAAGCAAAACGTCTTCAAGGGAAAAAAATCCAGTTGCCTTTTGAAAAAGCACCTTTGGAACACTTTACAGGCACCTATTTTCATTAAAATTATCAATACTCATTCTTGTAGGTGGTTTGCTTTGTTCTGCTGTCTTAAACATATATATTTTTGTAGAGGGAGGTTGACAACTTTGTGACTAGTGCAATATTTCAGCTTAAGGACTTAACTCTCAAAATAGCTTTATGGTATGGAATAGTGGTATAGAGGAAGTCTTCAATCTCTTACAATTTCTCCTTCCTCCCCAGAATAATATAAAATTATTTGACCTAGCGCACAGAATAATCAATACTCTTAGTTCACACATGGCAGTATATTTCAGAATTCAGTGAGTGTTTTTTAGAGACTCTAGTTTTTAGAGAAATTTAACAAGCCTACACGTTAAAATACAGTGTAACTGATAAGGGTTTAATACCAAGCAGCTACCCCCATAATTATATGAATGGAAAAAATATAAATAGGCTACAATTTAAGTGCTCCTAACTTTGTCAAATCACATTAAGGTAATTGTTGGCTAGAACAACAAAGATCTTTAGACAAAGTATCAACAAATGACAAAAAAATAAATGACAACAAATGAACTTTTCATTCATGTTCTTGAATAATGTTCTGAATTACCATCTAGCTTCAACCAACAAACAGAGGGTACAGTATGTTTCATCAATCTGTCTTTCAGACAATAACAGTACTTCTTAGAAAACTAGTATAACTGTCATATCTGTAAGCATGTCAAGAGCCAGGTGCATACTGTAGACTAACGGAGAAGGCACCCCATCTCTCCCCTCCAAACCCTTGTTTTTTAGCTTCTTTTAATTTTGTAATTTTAATCCATTTTTATATTTATAATTGCCGAAAGTTTGTTTTATCTTGATATAAGCTGCTCAGAGATACCTGAACCACGGGGTGGGCAGCATATTAATTTGATAAATCAATTAAATCAGCAAATTTTATCAGTCATGGTGATAATGCATTCAACAGTTTAATATCCTGACATTAGTAACTTATTAACAGGGTGACTCAGATTTTGTTTGGGTTTTGCACTACTTTGTTTTCTATCTTTAAAAACCATTACCGAACTACAATACACTTAAAAGTTTTATTAAATATCTTTAAAAATTCATACGTTCTTTATTTCTAATATAACTAAATAGATACAGAAACTGGAATTCAATGTTGTAAAACCAAAAAGAACATGAGTTAACTTTAACATTAACTCCCTAATAACAACAGGTGCAACACATCTGAAACAAAAGAAACTTCTCAAATGCACTATTCACTGATTAAACATGGACAGATTGTGTTGCAGGGCAAATGATTTGTAGCGCAAGAATGCCTCTTTTTCTTTCTGTGTATTTCCCTCTAAAAAGGCTTCACAGATAGCTTTTCTACACTCAGCTTTGCTGTCCTCCCTCAGTTTGCCTTCATAAACAATCCTCTCCAAATACTCTTTCTGAAGCCACTGAATAATTGTTTAGTGATAATTATGAAACTAATAAAGGTATAAAAGCAGAACTTCAAATTTTCCATCTATAAGTTTCACAAGCAACTTAGTTTGGATATTTTAGATACTGTGGTATCAAATTACAGTCATGTAAGAAAATTCCTATCAATGCAAACACTTTACTGAAGGGCAGGTTCACTCTCACCCAAGGGATCTATTCACTTCCCATAGAGAAAGGGGCTGATGAAATGCTGTCAGAGTAAACTTCTGCTCACTTTTTGGATGATTTAACGTCAATGGACCATACAAACACCCCAGAATGGCTTATAAGCTCAACCAAGCGTGCTCTTCTCCCCAATATATTTTAATTATGCATCTGCTCTAATTGCAATCAGATTACATCACTGAAAAAGGAACAAATTGGAAGTTTCTCTAATTACTAAGAGCTTTTCATCAATTTCCTAAAACAGGGTTTTATTTAAGGAAAGGTAGAAACACCAGCACAACTGTGACATTTCTAGACATCAGTGTCATTTTATTCAGCAATTCTGTACAGCTTTCATTAGCAGTCCAAACTCAAAAGAGGCAAATTTAAGTCCTAGGTCCTTTATTTTACTCCATTAGCAATGTTTTATACACAGACGAAGGCCCAACATAAATGCTTTTTTAAAAAAACCTGCCAGGCAAATCTTTAAAGACAATGTATGCACAGGCGCCCACTTGCAGACACTTAAAAACAGCTACTCTTTGATTTCTCAAGCAAGTACTGCCCCTATGAGTAAAGTTAAAGCAAAAGTTTCTATTTCAGAACTTAATTTCTCACAGAGTTCAGTATACTTGGAAAAATAAGTTTTTCAGGATCAGCTCTCTTTCTAGGAAACTTCTAAACAAGAGCATGTGGCTTTCTCTTGATACACTCAAGGCATTTAAAAGATAAAAGTTTAAAGTTAGAAAGCCCAGATTCAGATCACTACTTTTGAAATTTTAAGGTTATTTCTTTATTCTTTATTTTCTTTATTTACTATGTGTATGAGAATCTAAGAGAATGTCAGAAGTATGTTATGCTCTGGAAACAAGAATGTCAAAAGAAACAAATGGAAGCAATTCAAAATGTAATGTCTTTTTTTTTCCTCCTTCCTTTTTTTTGTCCAGATGTAACATCGTTTAAACGGCTTATTAAGGTGTTGCTTTGAAGGGAGGAAAAACGTAACACTTCTCCAGCACAAAATACCATAGCATGCACACATGGTCGTGTAATTAAGCCTCAAGCAAAGCAGGTATATTTGCAAGGAACACAAAAAGGCGATCCGGGAAGAAAAGAGATTAGGGGTTTATTACCATTAGACCGGTTGGCGCTACCAGCCTCCTGGCTCTTTTGCTTATTCCCGGCACGGCTAGTTCGACCAAAGTTAACTTGACAGTCGAGGAAATCTATGAATCGCGAGTTTTTTCTCGACAGTAGAGTCCTTGCAACAGCAACTCCCTTTACCAGGTGGCGGGGAAATGGGCTGAAAAACTACCCAATGGAAGAAAACGAGGAATAATCAGACTAATCCCGCTTCAACAGGTGAAAGAGACCCTCGGGGACTAAAAGGTTTTACCATTCCAGCCACCGGAGGAGTTAAGGGGGAGTCGCCGCTTCCATCGGAGGACCTCGCACGGGGAGCGCTCTCGCGTCCCGCAACTTACATTCCCTCCCTGAAGAACACACAACCTCAAGCCCCGCCAACCAACACGCAAGGCACACAAACAGGGCATCCCCCGGGGAAGGAAGGGCACGGCCTCTCGCAGCAGTCGCTCGGCCGGAGTAGCCGCCAACTCTCCAGCTGCAACTCCTCCTCCGTTTACCTGTCGTCGTAGCAGAAATCCGCGCCCAGGGTGTTGAGGTACAGGACGAGCCCCAGGGCGCTGCTCACCAACTCCGCGATCATTTCTCCGCTCCTGCCGACCTCCGCCTCTCCCTTTGCTGCTGCTGCTGCTGCCGCCGCCGCTCCAAACCCCGAAACGCATCCACCGCGCGCTTTCTCAACCGCCTTGCTTCACTTTGGCTTCCTTCTCCTGCTAGCGGGTGTGTCGGTCGGTCAACGCCTGCCGGCCCCCGGCATCTTCGCCCCTTTCCCCCGCACTCGGGCAGGCGCTGTCAGCGGCGGGAGGAGCCCGCTAGCACCAGCCGCTTTATTGTTTCGGTGTCCGCTCGCTCCCTTTTACCCCATGGCTGGCCGGGCGGACAGGGCGAGAGCGGCTGCCGCTCCGCCTTTCAAACCAACCCTGGTCCGGAATTTGTCCGCCCGCCTCGCTCCGCTCTCCCAATAGCGGGCGGCACACTCCGCCGCCGACTCCCTACCGCCCCGAGGCCCCTTCACAGCTGAACTGAAAGAACCACCGCCGAGGCTCCGCGAGCGCCCGCGTGGGGCTCTCCGAGCTTCCTTCGCGCTTGCGTGCCATCCCCTCTGGTCCGCCCCTTTCTCTCGCTACAGTCCGCCTTCCGCCCCTCGGTTTCGGCGGCGCTTGCTTGCTTGCTGCCTCTTCCTGCCTCTGCCTTTTTTATTATTATTATTATTATTATTATTTTATTATTTATTTATTTATTTCGCCTTCGCTAAGGAACAAATACCGTAGCTTGTAAAGGCGACCCCAGTTCTGGAGGCGAGGAGAAGGGCAGGCGAGAGAAGCTAAAAAGGAGGGAAGAAAGAGACCGGCCGGCTGGCTCTGCGACTGGCACAGGCTTTCCATCCTTGCCCGCTATTCAAAAGCAAGTCGTCTGGCAACTCCCCCCTCCCCGCGGGGGGGGGGGGACAATATTGTTGAGCCAAGTGGGGGTTGAAATCTGGCATTCTAGGACAAAGAGGTGGGTGGGTGGCTGAGGGAGTGTATCTAGCAACCTATATAGGAGAGACCCGGCCTGCTTAATATACAAGTTCCTCGGAAATACCTCCCAGATTGCAAGGAAAGGAGAGCCGAATGGAAGAAAGCAAGCCCTCGCCCTCTGTGTGTGGTTTTCAGGACACACACCTGGGAGATTTCCATCTGTGGGGAGTAGTACAAACAGGCACAACCAATGGCTGTCATCCTGCTATGAGGTCAAGGCGAGCAACACCACTATTTTTATCCAATCACCAATGCAAACCTCAATTCATGGGCAGTGTTCCTCCTTTTCTGCCAACCACCTACAACAAGAGTGTTTCTTTTTAAGCTCCTTTAGTTTGCTTTATTGTCATTGCACCTTGTACAATGAAATTAAAGGCCATCTTCGGTGTACCTTATAACTATAAAAGTAAAACACAAACACACATCCTTCACATTCTATACAATTGAATTGAAAACCCGATATTGCATTAATATTGCGCTGTACAGTAGAAGTGACAGTATGGTCACTTCTTGAAATGACACAGTACTGAGTACTGAGAGAGTACTGCGTACCCAGGTACATGGGTGAAATCCTGATGCTTAAAAAAAAAAGAAGACTTTTCCCAGTTCAACGCTACCTTCTGAAGACTTCCTAAGACGACTAGACCATGCTAGACTTTCCCTGGCGATGCTTTATGTGCTTTTTTGAAGCCCATCTTAGAATGACACCAGTTCTCCCTGCTGTGTTCAGTTAGTTCCAAAGTGTCATCGCCAATCAGGGTAATTTTAGAACTGTGATGCATTATGCGTGAAATATTAACATGCTGAGAGCCTTGTTCAAACCTCAGCAGATAGCTATTTTTCAGGGGGCTGTTGAGTGTTGAGTACATTGGGCCTTCTACCTGAAGGATTTTAATATTGGTTCCACATAATCTATCTCTAGGTTTTCCTCTTTCATAATCACAGATAAAGAAAAGAACAGATTCCTTCCTTCCTGCACTAATCAAGTGTGAATAATGTTTTTTCTTAATTGAAAGATTTAAAACATGTGCTAGTCGTCTTTTTTTCAGCATGCTTGAGGCAGTGCCCAACACAAATAAGGTTTAGAAATAATTTGTGACAAATGATTAAATGTTTCAAACGGAAGCCTTTTCTATTTAATTCAAGTGTGGGCATCCTGTACCCCCGAGCTCTATTTTTTTTCCTACTTCTCAGAAAACTTTCAGCTGAATTGCTGGATATTGCTGTAGCTTTCAGCAAAAGAAAATTTAGGGCAGCCCCTGGCCGCAAAATCTTTACCCAGTCTGGTCTAAATAATCTAGATATATACTATTTATGTTTGTAAGTGTTTGTAAGACAAACCTCTGTGTCCTGTATTTTGCTCCTGGGTTGTCTCAAAATAGTAGTCACGCTGTAAACACTCTGACAATTTAGTTCAAATTTGCACTAAGGTAATTTTAAAATAGTATTTTTTTCTTTCATGTTTGGCTCCACTCTTCTTACTACATCCATATTGTTTCCTAAGCGGAGTTATAAAAATGGCTTGCCTTTGTCTTCTTGGATGTTTCTACAACTTCCACCCTCATTCACAATGCTAAGAATCCCCAGAGAGGCCCCATCCAAATATTAACCTAAGTTGACCCTTCTTAGCATTCAAAATCAAGGTCAGTTAGGTGCTGCCACCTGCTGAGGTGTAAGACAGATGCACTTTTCCTTTGTCTAATGAATATTTCAGCATTTGGAAATAAGCATGCTTTCTCTTATAATTTTTTATTCACCTTGCTATGATTTCTTGGTTTGTTTGTTTGTTTGTTTGTTTGTTGTTGTTTTTGCTTTAATTTATATGCCGCCCTTCTCCGGAGACTCAGGGCGACTTACAATGCGTTAAGCAATAGCCTTTTGTATATTTATACAAAGTCAGCTTATTGCCCCACAATCTGGGTCCTCATTTTACCTACCTTTGAAAGAATGGAAGGCTGAGTCAACCTTGAGCCTGGTGAGATTTGAACTTGCAATAATTGCAAGCAGCAGATGTTAATAACAGTGCTTTAGTCCACTGTACTACCAAGGCTCTTTTTCTCTGTGTTTCTATGTTTATTTATTTATTTATTATTATATTTCTATATCGCCTTTCTCCCGTAGGACTCAAGGCGGTGTACAGTCAAGAAAAATATAGACACATATATTTGATGTGTGTTATGATGTTTGCTCTGTCCCACCTATTACTCCAAAATCTCTGTTGGATTTGTTGAAATATTGGCAGGTAACATTTCTGGAATTTGACATTCCACTAATGAGTTGTATTCTTTATTCATATATTTATACTCCATTTGAAAAATATGTAATACCTTCTCAAACCAAGCAACCGAAGAAAGCATCCTAGTAACTAAAGCTAGAGATTAGATTTTGGCACCATATAGGAGAGGTCAAATCTTATTCCTATTCCTCCATATCAGGTAATCAACTAATAATAAATTTGTTGGATTTATAAATGGTATTTCACACAAATATCAGACACAAGACTGCTAATAACATTATTAAAAATTCTCATGAAATGGAGATAGGAGCAATAAAATGTAAAGAAGACAAAATAGTATACAACACTAAACATAGACTAGCACAAAAAGTAATTATTACCAATTTAAAACAAGAACAATTGAGCCAGTTTTACTTTCTTCAAGATGGCAATCCACCATGAGACCACTACTTTTAAAAAGACCCTAGTCATTTTTGCTAAGTTATTATTGTAAATTATTAAGTTATTATGGAGGACCGCAATCTTTAGATAGCATATAAGCATATTGACGTGTTTCATCTGCCCAGGCAGGATTTAGGGAATGGAATGGAATGGAATGACTATGTACATGTAATGGATGGTAGACTATACATTTCTGGAATCCTTGAATAATTGCTATTTCCAGAAGACAGCTGGGTAAAATTATTAAAAGCTTTGCATTAATTATCTTGGTAACAGGGAACAGCCAGTTGGTTGCCTCTATGAGCAGTATCTAGTTCAAAAGCACCATCATATTTTTAGCTTGCCCCAACATTAGAGTTTTCACCTCTTTCAAAAGGGAAATTGGATGATTGTCCCATTTATCACTTCATTTACATATGAGGCTGACAATGAAAATGTAAGACTTTTAACAGGAGGATAAAATGCATAATTTCACTGGCTTAATCTAGTGGAAAACATTTATCCACCCCATCTTCTTTTTCATACAAGCAGAAGTATTTGTCATTGCATCTACAATCTCATATCTGCCTATGTGGAGTAGAACTGCAGAAGTACTCCATGTTCTATAATTTCTTAGTCAGCATAAATAGGATTCTAAGACTAAGTAATTTCTGATAATAGCAAGTTATAAAATCATAACACAAGACTCTATTGATATTGATATTGTTTCCTGATTGCTTATTTATACCCTGTGACTTATCATTAAGTGTTGTACCTTATGATTCTTGATGAATGTATCTTGTCTTTTTATGTACACTGAAAGCATATGCATCAAGACAAATTCCTTGGGTGTCCAATCACACTTGGCCAATAAAAATAAAAATAAAAATAAAAATAAAAAATTCTATTCTATTCTATTCTACACAGTTTGTTTTAAATCTTTGACTTCAGGTGAAATATACCTCTTTCATTTGCTTTCTTTGAACTTTCTCTGCCCAGCACAGAAGAAAGAAATAACAACATATATGAAAGAGAAAAGTCTTGGCATATTTTTTTTTTACTTAAGTGTTGAAAATATATTATTCTCATGCATGGAATCATGAGATATGGTTTAGCACTTCATCAAAAATGTCAATTTATTCAGTGGATTGAGTGTTTGACGTGTGTGATAATCACAAGGTATAAAGATAAGTAATTTAAGAGTTCATACATATCATCAAATAGTCATTATCAAAACAACTTTCATTCTGTGAAATGAATGTTGTCACAGGCTATCAAAGGAAAGTAAGAGTAGGATGGTTGCACTAATAACAGTAATTGTGGAGATGAGATGAACAGCACAACCTAAAAACTATTCAAGAGGAGTTGAAAAGGTGTCAGATTTGTTGTTTTAGAGACATTATCAGCATGCAATGTTGTGGAAATCCTTTTTCACATTGGACAAAAACAAGATACCCATTTTCCAAATAAAGCCAAGTTTGGAAGATGAAGTTGGAGAACCAAATTAGAAAAAATATATATTTATTACAGTGTCAATTTTCTAAATTTACAAAGCACTTTGGAATCTTAAAAATGTACGCCATACCTTCATTGTAAATTGCTTCATATATCAGACTCTTATTTTACCTGCAGCTGAATTATTTTTAAATGTCTTACGGGCTAGGCATTAACTCCATATGTGACCACAGTTAGTGTCCAAGGGAGGAAAATAGAGATCATCCAAGTTTTATTATTTATTTATTGTTTATTTCCCCCCCCTTATTATTTTTATAAATAACTCAAGGTGATGAATATATGTACCTAATACTTCTTCCTCCACTTATTTTTCCCACAACAATCCTGTGAAGCATGCTGGGTTGAGGGCAAGTGACTGGGATCCTATTATCCACCAGTCCTGATAATACTGAATGATTAAAAATTCCGAGACTTATATGCTGTAGTGGGCATTCACACCCTTACAAGTATGGTGGTTTGAGTGCCATTGATTCCTGTGGTAT